CTGTGTCCCTCCCCAGACTCTGAACCCCTCATGCGACTTCACCACAACTCGGGAAGGCCACGTGAACACAGGGATGACTCGTCCACTTTATGGACAAGAAAGCTGAGGCTCAGAGAAGTGAAGCACCTTCCCCCGGTCACGCAACGGGTCTGAGCCCAGGCAGAGTCTGCTTCTGTGCGCTTTCGCCTATCCGCGCTGCTTCTAGAATGGGACTTCCACAGGTGTGACTCTGTTCTCACAGGCCGGGCACGTAGTAGGTGTACAGGGCTGCTGCCCAAGGATGAGAACAGCAGGGCCAGGGAGAAAGGGGCGGGACTGCTCCTAGCATCCAACACAGGCCAGCCCAGCCAGGTGAGGGAGGCCAATGGCCAAACCATCTCAGGAGGGTGGGGATGAGTGAGTGAGAACAGCTCTCAGGACCCTGTCTGCAGATCTACTCTGGTCTGTAGAGACCCCCGACTGGGTCAGGTGACGAGGCCCCACCTGAGCCCAGAGATTTCACCACCCTGGTCATGGTCGGGGGCAGACTCTGAAGCCCTGGGTCCTGGAATTTTGGAAAGGGTGGGAATGAGTGAAGACCCAGACACTCAGCTGATGACTGAGACGGGCAGAGCCTCCCAGGGAAGCAGCCTTCTAGGGTCCCTCATGGTGGCCTCTGGAGGGCTCTCTGTTCTAGGCGCTGCAAAGGAGGCCTTTGCCTAGGAGAGCTCCCTGCAGCAGCCCCCTCCTTAGAGACCCAGGGGACCTGCAGTGGGCACCGCCCTGGCCCCGCAGAGCCAGGCCTGAGGAGGTGCAGCCAGTCAGATAGGTGGTCTCTGTGCCAGCCCTATGGGGAGGAGTGGGGCTGGAGGGGGCACACGGAGGGGCTTGTGAGCTGCTCCAAGTCCCCAGAAACACAATGAAGCCCACCTGGGTGGCAGGTATCAGCTCCTCCACCTGAGGCCCGCCTTCCTGAGGGTCCTAGGATAGCACAGTTCCACAGAAGGCCACAGCCTGGGCTATGACCTAGGGGCTAGGAGGTGTTTAGGACGGGCACAGAAAGATCCTCTAAGTCCATGCTGAAGTCCAGTGTCATCCCCCACCCCTGAGCGGGCCCCCAGGCCCTGGGTATCTGGAAGCTTCCTGAAGGGCAGCCTGAAGGTCCCACTCCAATCTTGCCCTCTTCCGAGGATTGTGGGAGGGATGCTGCTACGGACAGCAGCCAAGCAGCCATAGGATGGGGGACTGGCTGGGGCAAGGAGCCAGGGCAACTCATTCTTTGTGGTGTGGCCCTCATTTGCCTCTACAGCCTTCCTCTCACCGCACGCCCCACTTCCCTTCTCATGCCCTCCAAAGTTCTCTTTATTCTTCTCACGTACGAGGCCTTCATTCATGGCCCATGCACATCATTCTTTCTGTCTGGAACACTCTTTCCTGTTTCGCTTCCCCCCTTTTTTCCTGCTTATCCTTCAGGTTTCACTTTAGATGCCAGTTCCTCCAGGAAGTCTTCCCCCCTCCACCCTCCAATCCACTTAGACGTTTCCCTCTGTACTTCTGGGGCCAACCTCTTTCTCCTGGCCCTCAGCCCCGGCCATAGCTGCTAGCTGATTCATCTGCCTTCCCTCCAAGAGGGTAGGACCCAGGCCTACCTTGCTCCGCATTGGGTCCCACACGCCTAGCCCAGTACTGGGTACTGAGTATGTTCTCAATAAATATTTGTGGAATGAATGTACGAATGAATGAATACATGAACAAATAAAAGCCACTCCTAAAGCATGTGGTCATTTCCTAGGCCCAAGGGACAGATCTCCACCCAGCCCTGGCATTTCTCCCAAGAGTACGCCTTGAGTATGCACTGACCCCTTGGGTATGTGTGCGCACACGTGTCTGTGTGTGGCCGCGTCTAGGGTGCTCACCGCTTGCTTAGCTCCTTTAAGGCTCCACTTCGGCACAGGCACAGGTAATCCCCCAGAAGCTTCAGCTGCTCTCGGCTCCTCCCGATCAGATGCATCCGCTCCTCGTGCTCGTACAGAGACGCGTTCACCAGCTGCAGGTTGATGAGGGGCTGGGCCCAGATCTGCATCAGGAACTTCAGGGCCTGCCGGCAGATCTGGGGGCACCGCCAGGCAGCAGGGGTGGGAGAGAAAGGCCGTAGTCCAGTGAGCCCCTCTGGGCCAGGCACTGTATTACCTACTTGGTCACTCACCCTGCCACCACCCTCCAAGGGAACTAGTGCCATCTTCATTTTACAGATGAGGAAACTGAGGTTCAGAGAGATGAAGTGACTTGGCCTAGGTCCACAGCTCATAAAAGCCAAGATTGAAGCCCAATTTATCTGACCCCCCAGCCTACTCTCCCTCCATGGCGCCAGCTGGTGCCCCTCCCGGACCATGCTGGGATGGAGGAGGGGCCCCCCTCCTCCTGGGCCTCACAGACCCTTTCCACTATTTCCTGTTCTCCCAGCCCCCATCTTCCTGACGAAAGGAAACAGTCCGCAGGCTTCAGAATCAGGTGACTGGTCTGAGCCAGGCTCCAACCACAGGAAGCCACAGATCAGACACAGCTTAACAAGAGGTTTCCCCAGTTCCCTCAGCTCTCACAGGCAGTACCACTCAGGGCTCCCACGAATCTCCATGTGGAGTTAAGTGATCAATCCCACCTGATAGGGCGTTGAAGGCTCTACCCTCAGGCTCGACCCTAATGCCAAAGCCACTTATTGCACATACTCTTTGCTAGACGCTGGGCTAAGGACCTTGACCACATCTTTTCTTCATACTTGTAACAACCCAAAGGGGAACGTGTTTCATCATCCTACTTTATTGATGAGGAAACTGAGGCTCAGAGACAGCTAAAGTGCCTCGTCCAACTCATCTGCAGAAAGCAGAGCCCAGGTCTGAGCTGAGGTGTCGCTTCAGCACACCAGGCTGCCACACTAACAGGAGCCTCTCTCCTCTGCAGTCTCCCCCTGGCTGTGATAAGAAGAATGGAGGAGAGCGATGGTCTCCACCGACTACTGTGGTTAGGAGTCTGGCTTTCAAGTTAGAATTGGATTTGAATCCTGGCTCTACCATTTCCTAGCTGTATGACCTTGTGAAACTTCCTTAACCTCTCCGTGACTCAGTTTCCTCATGTGTAAAATACAAGCACCTCCTGGGATTATTTTAAATTGACATTAAAAGATAATCTGTGTAAGCTCCTGGCAGGTAGCACATCCTCAGTAAATGGGGGCTGCCATTAGACTCTGCGAATGCCTGTTTTGGCCAGTTGTCCCCTGGAGGGTGGGGAATGTAACAGGGCCCTCAGAAGGCTCTTACCCTGGGGGGCTGGGACGGCCTTTGGCCGCCTGTCTCCCAGGTCCACCAGCATCTCTTGCCTCCCCCAGCAATGGACAACTCCTTCTTTCCCATTGCCCAGCGCCCAGCCGATGGGCAGCCCAGTGGCAAAGCCCCAGTGACTCCAGTCAAGCTGCTATTCTCAGCCCTGCCCATGACAGCCTCAGGCCTTGGGTGAGGCTCAGATGAAATAACACACAGGAATGTGTGCTGAAAACTGCCAGGTGCTTCAGATGGGCAGTGGCTTTGTGCTCCCTTGGGACCGTTTCTATCCTGTGGGCGTGTAAGAGACAAAGAAAGAAGCCCCAGTCCTGGGCTCACATCCTGCCAAGTGCCAGGCAGGTCTCACACAAGTGGGTCAGCCGGAGTGTGAGCAGGCAATAGGCCCCTAACCAGTGAGCCAGCCACTTTCCAGTTTGAATTTCCTTGTCTTTCCCAAGCCAGAGATCTTTGAGACAGAGCTAGCTATTTCCTGATCTCAGGTATGCTGAAAAAACATTGTAATTTTCTAGTGGGAAAGGAAGTGGCACAAGAATTACAGCAATGAATAAGGAGATGGCTCAACAGAAGTGTCGGGTGTTGTAAACGGTGTGTTTTATGGCCAAAGGGTTCTTTGCATTTGTGGTGATTTTGAGATTTCATTTCCTCCAGGTAGTTAAATACTTAACTACAGGGTAGGGGTAAGGATGACGAAACCAACCAAAAAGCCAAAGTGAAGCTAACATCTTTGGGGTTCCCATCCCCAGGGGGTGGAGGCTGGGGTGGCACAGACTCTCAGCATCACGTTCCTTGTGCTCTCATAAGGACACATCCACATCCCAGGCCTGCACAGCCGGCAGGCCTGGGTCTTGAGAGAAGCAAATAGCTTCTGTCTTGTGTTTCTATGTCTGAGCAAAAATCTGTGCCTTGGGGAGAGAGTCAAGTTTGTGTCCCTTGAGGTAAACCCTGGCTCCATGAATTAGGGGACAGAAGGTGTGCAGGTCTCAGGAGAGGGGAAGGGCACTAATGTAACGCACCATCTAAGTGACTGGTGGGCACCGCCTCCTTTAGTTCTCACACAAGCCTGAGAAGACACTGTTCTTTACCCCCATGTGGACGAGGAAGCTGAAGTTAAATAATTTGCTCGCGGTAACACAGCTAGAAAAGTGGGTAAGCGCGGGAGAAGAGGAAAACCTGAATGATCTTAGAGTATATCTCATTCAAAAGCAGTTGGTGAACACAAGAAAGTGCCTAAGATGTAATACTAAATGCACAAAGCCTGTATGGGTCCAGCATAATCCCAACTTTACAAAAAGTAGATGTGCACGTGAACACAAGCACAGTGTGGACAGAAAAGGGTGCTGTAATAAATCTAACCGAAAGTAACCTCACAGGGTGATCTGATCACAAATTCCTAACTGGCCAGGTCAGGGTGGGATTCATGCCTCAGGCATATAACTTCTTTAGTAAAAGGCTTATCTTGGCCTCAAACAAGCCCTGTTCATTGTTTCTGTGCGTCTAGTAGGCTAACACATCTTTGAAATGCTCCCCTTTGAGAACCTTCCTTCTAAAGCATGACCACCCTCAAGACAGCATATAATAGTAACTAATCTGTAAAATCCCAGCCTTGCTTTCTCCCACCTTCATGTAATCTTTCTTACATTCTCTCCTTAATCCCAAACATATAAAAGAAACTGCAAAACTGTCGTTCTCTGGAACATGTGAGATCTTGTTCCCTGGCAATTGTCGTCAGTTTGGCTCACAAACTGTCATTAAAAAATTCTTCGCAGGTTCTTTCAACGACAACAGAAAAGGCTGACTGCTCCAAGGGGAAGCGCAGCCAGTCGGCCAGCCAATCTATCCATCCACATCCATGCACCCACCCAACCACCATCCATGTATCTATCCTATCCTGTCCTGTCCTGTCCTATCCTATCCATCCATGTATCTTATCTGTCCTATTATCCTTCCTTCTTTCCCATCCATCCATCCATCTATCCATCCAGTTGCTAGTGCCTTAAACAGTTTTGTCTGTAGCCATGGGGAGCTGCAGAGGGCCATCCCCCGACTCCCACCCGAGGACCAAGGCAGGCATTGACAGCACTGCCCAGGGGCTATAGACCAGCACTATGTTTTTTTCTTGGTCAGCTACCTCTCATCATGGGGCCTGAACCAGTGACCCTGGCTTCCTTAGAGCCAAACTCCTCCCAACAGATGAATAGCAGCAGCAAAGACGAGTGACCATTCCTGTCACTCAGCAGCCCTGGGTGGCCATGACAAGCTGGGCTCGCGGCTTACCGGGCGCTTGGTGAGGTCCCAGTTGTGGATGATCCTGGCCGGAATCACTGAGGCATCATCTTGATGGCAGATGTCACAGTAATAGAGGCCAGAGAAGGCACAGAGCTTGGGTCGTACAAATGAGAAGCCGATCTGCCGGGAGCAGCCTGGGAGAAAGACGGTGGGAGTGAGTAGTGGTGGGGGCCAGGGTCAGCTCCTGAATAACACAGCGACTACTGAGGTGGATGGGGCCTGCTATTTAAGGAAAATATAAAGATAAAAAAGGAGCGTACAAAGATAAGAACCACCACCACTCATATTCCCATCACTCGGAATCAACGCCATTAATTCATCTTTACAGCAAAACACTGTAAGAATTGCCATTGCCATTTTATAGCTGAAGGGACTGGTGTACAGATGTTAGGAAACCTGCCAGTGACACAACCATTAAGTGGCACGACTGGGGCTCAAAGCTGAGTTGCGTTGTGAGCCTGCGTTCTTTTGTACGTAGCTGCCTTGTTCAGTGTTCCCACTGCTTGCTCACCAGCACTGGCCTCCTCTAGGTCCACCCCTGCACTGGGGCCCAGAAATGGAAGCAACCAAGTTCAGGGTCTCGGCAAGCAGGGAAGGAGCTGGGGACACAGGGCCGGCCACAGGGAGTGGGTGGGAAGGCAGCAGGAAGCAGGGCAGTCTGGATGCTGCTCGGTGCGAGCTTGAAGTCGGAGCTGCCGGAGGCCTCGACAGTGGTACCGGGCCCAGCCTCAGCTCTTGGCTGGAGATCCCGCCAACTGCGGGGCAGAGGGAGTGGGAGTGGGGTGTGCCTAGGGCAAAGCAAAGGCCTGGCTCAAATCCTGACACAGGCCCAGCCTCCCGTGGGGCGGGGAAAGAGTCCTCTGGCCTTGAGGCTACAAGGGCCAGCTCTGCTGCTTACCAGCTGCCTTGTCCTGACCTTCACCAAATTTTTGCCGGGTTCTATTTCAGTATCTGTAGAATTCAGCTACTACTGGTTATTTTGTGGGGTTATTCGAAAGTTTAAATGAGACAGGTTTTGCAAGTGCCCTGCAAACTATGAAATTATAAGCCAAATGGCATTGGCTGGTATCTGCTCGGCCACGGAGCTGGGCTTGTGGGTGGAAAGGAAGCCCAAGCTCCCCAGTTCCAGTCTTGCAGGCAGGCTGGCGGGTGGCAGACATGGTGAGAGCTGCTCCCATTAGCCTTCTTTCATACCCACAAGTGTGAACTGCCTGGCAGGAGGAGAGGGGTGAGCAGGTGTTTGAAGACGTTTCTGCAGGAAGCTTTGCCTTGCCTAGCGTCTCCCATCCTCCAGGGGTACTGACCGCAGACCACTTCCTTCCAGACGCCTGAAGCAGGCTTTCCCCTCCAGTTCCGCAGGCTCCATCCTGACAGAGCAGCTTCTAAGCCGCTTACAGCCAAGTCTCTTGCCTTGGCACTCTGCATCAAACAAGCTCCTCACAGTTCCCCCAGAGGGCCCAGGCCGGACTGGGGAGAAGAGTTGTACATGGAATGTGAACAGCGGCATATCACAGCCTGGCAGGGGTGTGGAGAGGGCCTATGGGCAGCTGGCTAAGAGCACAGGTTCAGGGACCATCACAGTCCTCATGTGGCTCTGCTGCTTATTAGCTGTGTGAACTTGGGACAAGGTTCTTACCAGCCCTGTGACTCAGTTTCCTCAGCTATAAACAGATAATAGTAGCACCTATCCCTATAGGGTTGTTGAGAGGATTAAATAAGGCATCTGGCCCAGTGCCCAGCACAGAGGAGTTAGATTTGATGTTGATGGTGATGATATAGCAGATACACTGTCTTGGAATAACATTCATAACGTATCCTTAACCAGAAAAAAGCCAAGTTGCAAAACAACATGAGTATAAATGGCTGCACTGTCCAACACAGTGCCACCAGCCACAGGGGACCTTTTAAATATAAATCCATTTCAATGAAATAAAATCAAAATTCAGTTCTTTAGTTGCACTAGCCACATTTTAAGTACTCAGTAGCCACATGTGGCCGATGGCTACCATATTGGACAGCATAGATCTAGGTCATTTTCATCATCACAGAAAGTCCTATTGGATAGCGTTGAGTAGTATGAGCCCATTTTTGTAATTAAAAAAACAACTGTGTGCACTTGCAAAAATATGCAAAAATATTTGAAAGGGTACCATGCCTGTTCCAAAATATGGTAACATAGTAACATGGTAAGGAAGCAAGTGGAGAGCTTAGCTGAGCAGAGAGCAGTGCTCAGTAGGGCTGCCACCCACGGGTCCCATCCCTCAGCAGGAGGTGCTAGGCTGTTTGGAGCAAACAGCCTCATTTGCTGCAACACCCCAGCGATGGGATGGGGGCACTCCTGGAGGGCCGAGAAGGGGTGCAGATCTGAACCAGGAGCCCCACCAGAGGAAGAGGGGGTGAGGCTGGCCTGCTGGGGATGGTGGGTGGGCAGGTCGGCACCTGCACAGAAGCAGCCCTGGGAGTCAAGGCCCTTCTCCGTGGGGATGGCCACCAGGTACTGCAGCAGGAAGCCATTCTCCCTCGTGGCGAGCTTCAGCACCTCCTGACAGTTTTCATCCAGACTCCCACCCAGGGTCACTGCCTCCTCGGCCGTCTCCAGGTAGGATGCCAGGACCTTGCGCACCAGATCCCTCCACAGGGCGGCCTCCTCGGCATTGCTGGCCTGCAGTTTCAGGATGGCCTTGGCTGTGATGATTTTGAAGAAGGACGGACCCCCGAGGCTTGTGTCTGGCAAAATATCTCGGATGGTCTCGACTCCATGGCTGTCGCTTAACATCTTCTCGTTGTTTCTCACACGGAAGCATTTCAGAGACTCTAAGGACAGAGAGAAAATATAGGGCGTCCAGGTCCTGTCCGAATACAGGTACAGGAGGGATTCTTTAATAGCGTCTGGCTCGGGAACTTGGGCAAAGGACCAGTCCAATTTCATGTCCTGGAGGGTCTCGGGCTCTGTGAGCAGGTCCGAGTGGGAGGGGAGGCCATCCTGGGGGCCCTTTGGGGGATCATCCGGCAGCTCTGGGTACTGGATGTTCACCCATTCGTCCTCCTGCTGGGGCCGGCATTTCTGCAGGGCCTCCCGCACCCGGTCCAGCCAGTCCTCCGCCTCATCCTGGGAGGAGGCGCGCAGGGTCAGTTTCTTGCTGGAGAAGACCAGCTCAAAGCGGCCATCGCTGTGGGCCGGCCCCACAGCCTCACAGCGCAGCAGGGAGCAGTTCTCCACACAGGTGCGTTCCTCGTCGCTCAGGTAGAGGCGGAACTCCAGCGGGGAGAGTTCGCAGAAGAGTTCCTTCCAGATGCCCATTGCCCCCCGCCGCTCCACCGTGCCCAGCTTCATGAGACCCCGGAAAGGGTTGGATAGCCCTGGAGGCAGAAAGAGGCACGTTAGACAGTGGGCATGTTCCTTTATCCCCCCCAAGAAAACCTCTGGAGCCCAAGGTCCTGCAGTGGGTGTGGACAAAGTGACTGCCACCAGAACACAGTCTAGCCACAGGGCTGCATGGGAACGTTTGAGTGCCTCCAGCCCATCCTCGCCCTCAGCTGTTGACCTTGTTTCTGAATTTCACTGAGAAAATAAAAAAACACTCAAAAGATTACCTCCATATGGCCCTCACTACACCTCCCCACTCCCAGTCTGTACCCACACTTTGCTTCCTCCTGTCACCAGTGGTGAACACACTGTGCTTCTGTCTGAGGCTAACCCCTCCATGTGTACAGGGGTCCCCACCCCCTTGCCTACTCAAGGACAAGGACATTTCTCCAGCGATTCTCCTTCCCTCTCCTGTGTCCCCGTCTTCTCCTTTCTCTACAGGAAACACACACACACACACACACACACACACACACACACACACACACACACACACACACACTCTCTCTCTCTCTCTCTCTCTCTCTCTCTCTCTCTCTCTCTCTCTCTCTCTCTTCTCTCTTTAAAAATACCTCTCTTGACTCCATTCACATCTCTAATTACCACCCTGTTTCTCTGTCCCCTTTACAGAAAAAGTCCTGAGGAGGTACTAGAACTGTCTCTAGTTTCCCTGATTCCATTCCTTCTTGAAACCTGCTTCAATCAGGCTTTTGTCCCCTCATTCCACTGAAACAGCCATCAGGAAGGCCACAGGGTCCTCCTTGTGGCCAAATTCAAAGGCCAATCCTCGGTCCCCATCTGGCCTGACCAGTCAGTATCACTGGACACAGCTGAGCCTTTTTTCATGAAACACTTCCCTTACTTGGTTGCTTAGACCCCATTCTTGGTTCTCCTCTACTGTCACTGGCCACTCTCTGTCCCTCGGGCTCACTCCGTTTCTTCTTGCTGTCCTCTCAATTGCTGCACCCCAGAGCTCAGTCCTGGGTCCTCTCCTCTTCTCCACTGACACCACTTTCTAGGTGATCTCACGTAATCTCAGGACTAGATGCCAACAACGCCCCAATTCTTATTTCTAGCTTGGACCTTGCCCTTGAACTTCAGATTCGGGTCTCCATCTGCTCTATGTGAGTCTAATAGGCTTCGCAAAGTTGACTGTGTCTAAAAATGACTTCTTGATTCTCCCACTCCAAACCTATTTCTCTCCTGACGTTCATCTCATAAAACGGCCACCTTCACCCTTCCAATCGCTTGGGCTAAAAACCCTGGACTTATCCTTGACTTTCTTTCTTTCACACCTCATGTCAAATCCATTAGCAAATTCTATTGGCATATCCAGAATCCTCCACTTCTCACCACCTCCAGCACGGCCTCAATGGGTTCAGTCCACTGTCATCCCTGGCCTGGGTTATGGATATAGCCTCCTAACTGCTCTCTCCCCCTCTGCAGTCCTTCAACATATGAGCCGGGGTGACTCCCCCATTTAAACTAGAAGTCAGATCAAGTCCCTCAGCCTGAAACCCTGCAAAGGCTGCTGTCGCCCTCAGAGCAAAAGCCAACGTCCTTTCTGTGGTCCACAGGCGCTCCATCCCTCTGACCTCGTTTCTAACCGCCTTCTTCCCACTCCTCTCTTCCAGCTACTCTGATCGCCACTGTTTCCTGGATGCATCAAGCACATTTCCATCACAGGGTCTTTGCATTTGGTCTCCCTGTTTGAACCAGAGATGGCCTCGTGCCTTCCTCCCTCCCTCCCTTCTTTCCCATCTCTTCAAATGTCACCTGATTTGTGGGGCTCCCTTGGCCATCCTGTATGAAACAGTGCACTCCCCACCTTGATACGCCCCGATTTATTGTCCTCCATAGCTTTTACAATCACCTGTCCATACTACATGCATACGTTTACTTGTTAATTTTCTTATTTCCTATCCCTCACACTAGAATATACGCAAGTCCCACGCAGACAGGGACTTTGCTGTTTCCTGCTGTCACTAGCACCTGAAACAGTGCCTGGCACATCACAGGTGCTCAATAAATATTTGCTGAATGAGTGAGTGGGTGCCCATGTACCACACACTGCTCAATGCTCCTGCTCCCGGCGGGCCTGCCACCAACCAAGAGATTCCAGAGGCTATACAATTCTCTCTCTTCCCGCCTGGACCAGCCTTGGAGATTTCAAACCATTGTAGTGGGTCTTTCTACCCCTCAGGGAACCCGATGGCCCAGGCACAAAGCACACCTCCTCTGGCATGGTT